TCTAATTGTCCTGTTCACCTGCTTGTTACCTTCTGTGCATTCTGATTGCGCTTTGACTTTCTCTGCTCTTGTTCGACGTATGTTGATTGCAACATTCTTGTTCGTTTTTTCAGTCTCATCCAGAGTTTTAGTGGTGGGCGCATTAGCATTGCATAACATTTAATGTAGTGCCTTCTTTCGTTGTTTCGAAGGATGTGACCATGATCCTAGGTCATTGAGATCATTATCCTATCTGTGCGTTTTGCTCATGCTAGGACTGCATCAGTTCCACTCCTTGATTGTGTGAGACGTATTCTTCGTCATGGTTGGAGTATAACAGCAGCTCAGCTGAACCTAGTCTTAGTTATTCAAACTGCTTGCAATATGGTTCACATTTTACAAACTCATTCACGTTGTATCTTTACTTCTGTGCATCAATTTGAAAAAGTCTGCCGATCACCCACATTGTGGTCGAAAATTTCACTGACCTAGAAGAATGGTTGCTGTAGTTGTCAGTTGTTGCCTGTTGACTTCCGACAAAACTTGCCTTTCATCACTGAACTTGATAAATACCCAAAATGAATATTTTCCGAATCACAGATCAGAGTTCGGATTATTTTTCTGGTTAGAGTCTTTTGTAGCAAGTTAGTTTTCTAATGGATGCGGTCAGTAATCTGATGATTAGCTTTTTTCCTTAATCCACGTTTGGGACTGCTATTTAACCTCATAAAGGTTCAAGGCTGAATTGTAGGGAATTATACTAGTCACAATTGGTTGCAACGTTGAAGTGTTGAAGGAAGTAAATATTCATCGACTGTTTTTTAATACGGAATTGGTAAAATGATTTCGAGATAGAAAACAAATTCATTCCAATCAAGGAGGAATTTTTTCCAAAATGTAACGTACTATTCCATTCATTCATATAAAATCAGTGAGCCAAGTCGATTCTTACATTCTAAAGCTTTGAAATGATGGATAAGAATACAGTTCAAGAAGTGTTATACCGACTGAGACGCATGATCTCAAGATTTGTATACCTAGTATTCAAATAATAATCCTCTCTGAAGGTAACAATAGTAAAATAATGTTTGTGAAATTTATACTATTTTTACGTAAAATAATTATA